TATGACAGAGGTAACAGAATCTCTTGCACTAAAGGGGAACTCACACATTTTTCCCTTTTAGGGTTATGCATTTGTTCTATAGTATGTGGCAAACTCTTGATCATGTATCAGCATGGATTATGTAAAGAACGATGAACAGACATCAGAAAATAAATTCAAACCAGATAAAGGTACAATCTATGAAATGTGTTAGGCTCCCTATGTATCTCACATAAAGTTGAATACAGTTCCATTTCATGGGTTGAAGTGGATTGATTGGAAAGAATAAAATTAAATAACACAAAATAGGACATAAAAAAGAAATGTGACTGCAATCCAGTAAATAATACAATTCCTAAATAATGTATGTGGATTTGCAACAACAGATTAATTCTCTTTCTTGTTTGTCAAATTTCCTTATTGTTAATAAACAATGCATCACAGATTGGGTTGTTTTTCCCCAAAATGTCATGGTCATGCATATTTATTATCTAAATGATACTATAAATTCCTTTAAGAAAACCATGCTGAATCATTCTGTAAATTATACATTTGTCTATAGATTAATGCACATGAAATTTTATTAATATTTTTTTCGTTGCCTATAAAAATAGCTCATTTTCCCCCAAGGAAAGCTGTTATTTGGCAACAATGATTATTTTTTTCTTAGAAAAAGAGAATAAAATTCATAAAATTCATAGCTGTGGGGTAATTGGAATTGGAAAGGCACAAGCAAACAGGAAGAAAATATAGATGGGAGAATGTAGGATGACAATCGCAGAGTACATCTTGAAGATAAATAACAGAAAAGAGGAAGAAAGAAGCAGATGTGCAGTCTCCTTTACACAGTACCTAAATTAGTTCTTACAGGCATTCAATTATTTTCAATATTTATTCCCATACCCATAAAGCGAGTAAAGCAACTAATATGAGTTTTGTGATAAGAATGATTACAACTTGTTTTATTCCTAAGTTTTTGTTTTGATACTTCGTTCTTCTTAAGTTTCAGGGCAAATAGAATCGGGGATTTTTTTTCCTTATAAAATAGAGGATGCTCAAGACACATCTGTACTCATAAAGCACATGCTGCAAAAGAAAACTGACAAGTTTCAAAATTAAGACCAGACTAAATATGAATATTCTCTAAGAGGTCTGAGCTTAAATGGAAATACCTAAGCAGGTGCTTGAAAAAAAATACAATATATGCTGCAAGGTTTTCTTTTAAGATTTGATTAAGAGGCCACAAAGCTTCACCACTTCAGCATTAATCTGTTAATTATATATATATATATATATATATAGATATAGATATATAGATATAGATATATATAGATATAGATATATAGATATAGATATATAGATATATGAAGACTCTAAGAAAAACTTCTGTAAGCATTGGTTACCTTTATGAAGAATCATCCTTTGGTAATAACAGGGTATCAATAGTTCATAGTTTGTGACTTTAACACCACATATGAAAATCTCACAAATACTGCTGCTGGAAGCAGTTAGAAATGCAATTATTTTGTTGATATTGTAACACAATTTTGTTTTCCTAATATCTGGCTGTTGAAAATGTTAAGAAATTGATTCAAGTTGTGGCTGACATGGGTGCGGTCCTGGGTAGAAAGAGGTTATAGAATGAAATACAAACAGTATTTTAATCCAGCTATGAAATAAAGAAAGACAGCAAAAAAGTTACTGTTAGTTCTCCCCGGAGATGCTTAAGACCAAGATGAACGTTCATCTGTCTGAGATAGTTTAAGTAGGGCTTGCCTGGAGGAAAGGAAATAAAATGTAGTAATTTGCAACATTTCCACAGCATGAATTTTATATTGTCAGGATGCTGCCCAGGGCAAGTTTAGCCAGACCTCAAGAGTAAACCAAGTGCTGTCACCAGAAATCTTGTAGCAATGGGAACTGCTTTGCATCAGGCTCGGAAGCGGCAGATCTGAAAATTTTGCTAGACTAGGGCAGGGTGCTACTGTAGAGAGCTTTCCCGGATGCGGGGTCTTGGCTCTGCTCTGCACTTAGGCGTGCTGTCCTAGCTCCTTTTTCGCTTGTAACCTGTGGATAATTGTGCAGCTGTGATTGGGACACCATGAAAGACAAGCAGCTTAGGAGTGAACACACAGGCACAATAAAGATGACAAAATACTGTTCTCTTCTGTCCCCGTGAGTACTAATATCACCATCAATGGTATGCTTCTGATTCATTGATGGCTGTTACTAGTAGTTTAATAATAATGTAAATTGAATTTTATACTTAAAAAATAGAAGATATATTGCTTACCTGACCCATGAAATGAGAATGATTTTTGAAAATACGGTTTGAAATATCTTTTAACTCTGAAGTCTCTTTTAGCTATTTAAACCAATTAAACAGTCTTACACATTACAAAGTTCAATCTTGCCCTCTTTCCTTTTCTAAGAGTTCATGGAAGATGACGAGAATGGGAGGTTTTGTGGGTTTTTTGTTTGTTTGTTTGTTTTCTTTGTATTATATTTAGTGTTACCATTCAGGTCTATACTGTCTCTTACGCTTCCTTTCCTCCATGGAAACATGTTTCCAAAGCTTACTCTATGTGGATGCTGTCAGTCAGCACCTCCCACATGTGCATCCCTTGTGTCTCATCATTGTTTTACTTCATTAAAAAAAGAAAATCACATTTCATCTCTTGCACACACAAAATACACAAACCGAAAGTGCATTTCATTTTGGTTTTGATACCAAGTTTTTTCTCAATTTACTCCTACCTACTATTCACCAACACATAATATAAGATAATAACTTAAATTTCTCCCTACATTCTTTCCTGAATTTTCTTCCAGAGCTCTCTGACAACTTATTCTTTAAGTTGTTCCTTCCTCAATTCCTATAATATGCAACCTCCTATTTATAAGTCATTGTTTGTTGTATGTTCATTTAATGTTTTCATGTATATTTTCTTCTTTTCAATTTGAAATTCCATGTCTAATTGACTCAAAATAAAATAATCATATATATATTAAAATAATCTATTAACTAAATTCTAATCTAATCTCATATTCTACTAGCCTGTCTCCTTTGTAAGCCATTTATTCATGGAAAACTTTTATAAGTTATTCACTGAATAATTTATAATGAAACATAATGCTATAGTTTCAGAGCAACTTACTGGTTTAAACAGTCTTTCATATCTCATTTGCCTAATAACCACAACAAACCCCAAAATCTGTTATTCATTTTATGGAATTAAATATGAAGGGTCAAGAGGAATTGGATGATTGCTTATGTGTGCAAATCTAAAATATTGGAAAACTGTCTCAGGCTGTAATCCTAACCTCACTGTACAGCATATGTAACAATCTTTGAATTTGAGGAGACTCGTGAGTGTATGTGGGGGAGGTTTAAAATGCCCGTTTCACATGGCAGCTGCCCTTCTCTCTCACTTTCCACTTGATTTCTGAATTTGTCTTCTAGTTAAATGAAGAAAACATGTTTTAAAAAAATCCCTTGTGATGGATCAGTATTCCTAAATAGAGACTTACACATAGGAAAAGACAATCAGCTGACTTAAATTCTTTGACTATCTGAAGAATAGTTAAATGCACTTGCATTAAGTGCTTAATGATAGTACCGTTGTGAGGTTACAAGTGATATTCTGCAGGGTGGCCAGTTGTAGCCATTGCAACTTGAGTGGGTACAACCCAAGGAATTCTTAAGTAATAGCATATTCACAAATAATACACTGAGACAGATTGGATCCCCTATGTTAGCAGGCCGGCTTAAGTGTTCTTAAAGTCCCAGCTAGTAAAGATAGAAAGAAAGCAGAAGAAATCCTTTTTGTCTAAGTGCACGTAAAAAATCACCGCAGTCACGATGTTAATGGCTTTGTCTATTTATAACCACAAAGCTGTACTTTTCTGCCATTACTCGTGCACTCAGAAAGCACAGATTCCGGATCAAGAAAAACACATTTCTACTGTGGAGAGGTAAAGGCCAAATCCATGGCTTTATCAACACTTGTCTTCTTTGACAAGGGACAACATCTGTCTCACTTTCACTACTAGAGAAAAATGGTACTGAAGTCTCCCATGAAGAATTCTGAATATAAGTTAATTCTTGAAAAATGGCCTGCCCTGTTTATGACTAGCTAAGAAATATTGGATTGTAAGAGTTAATCTTGGCACACAGGGGCTCTTCACTCCTACATTCCAAGGGATTGCAATAGCTAAGGAAAACATTTTAGCCCCCAACATGTGAAGTAAATTGAAAAGTCATTTTAAAGGACTAGTGGTATTTTGAAATTGATAAAGATATATATTGACAATAATAGGTTTACCATTGAAAAGTTATATCTCACTGGTAGCTTAAGAGCTATGGGCACTTAAACACTGTGTAAGAAACTAGATTAAAGATTTATCAAGAAAAATAAAAAAAATGTTTTTCCTTTTCTTTTTTCTTCTTATTAAGGTTGGTTATTCATATAGTCCTCCAAAGATATGAGGGAAAAGATGTGAAAAAAAATACACGTAAATGGAAAAGGTGAATTTATCATTTTTACACTTCTAACATCTAAAAACTCCAGAAAAAAGCTGCAGCTCTAAGCCATCTTTATCTTTAGCTGGAATATATTATCTATTTCCAAAGGAAAATAAAACTGTTTATATGCTGCACTTTCTGTATACCCTGACAGAAACTGCAAAGAGAGCAAGAGCGAACTCGGGAAAAGGTGAGAAAAACACATGATCATACCATTTCATTTTCCTGAAAATTGTAAAGCACTAATCAAAGTATTTTGAATTAATTTTATAATGATTCGAGTTGCCAAACATCTTTACAAACAGCAAAATTTTATGTTGCTACTGAAAGATCTTAAAAATAAGAAGAAAGTTACATCAGTATTTACTTTTCTGTTAATTTAAGTAATGTAAACCTGACCAAAACAAAACAAAACAAAACAAACAAACAAAAAAAACAACAACAAAAAACCAGATGATTATAAGGAACTATAAATTAAGGTGTATTATATACTCACAAATTTTTAATGTCAACTGCCCCACGGAAAGCTTTCCTTGGAATTGCTTGAATTTGATTTTCACTGAGATCACTAAAAACAACAAAAGAAAGGAAGATATGTTATAAAAACATATTTTCGCTTAGTTTAATCGAAGTGATAAGTAATAGAAAAGATTACTCCACCAAAACACCCTCCCCACAGAAAGGGACAAAACAGTTTAATACAAAGCAAGTAACTATACAAATAATTTGCAATTCTCATGTACGTTAAAGTTTGGAATATGTATTTTGTTTTTTTTTTCTTTAATCTATATTCTATCATAAAATATGGCATTTTTATTTAAAATTGACATAATTTTGCAAAATAAAATATAAAATATTTCATTGAGACAAGTAGTAGATTTTTCATAAATAAATTTCAGGAGACTTTGAAGCTTTAGAACTTAACATTGGCTCAAAATCACTGTTGTAACTTAGCTTCCTAGAAAAGGATGATGATACTCAGACCACATAGTTAAGCTTCCACAGCAACTTCAGTATTATTAAAAAGGGAACCTGAAAGCACTCATCCAACAATAAAGTAAAGTTTCTTCATGGAATATTAATAGTAGGCTGATTTGAAGCCTCCCCTAAATCTATTATAATCACAAACATAGAGAGTCTATATTTACATCTTAATTTAATTAAGAAATACATTTTAATCAAGGGGGAAAAAGCACTCTCAGTTGAGATGAAGAGTTTGAGAGAAAAAAAAAACACTCATTGTAAAAATAGATCATTATTTTTCCTTCCAAGAGTTCAGAGTCAATTCTAAGACAATTCTCAGAGCTCAGATAGTATTACTAGCCTTATCACACAAAGTACAAATACATACAAAAAATGATGTGCCCCTGGAAATGGAAAATTGTCTTCTAGGTTTTATTCACATGAATATACAGCAAGAAGTTGAAATATCAGGCAAACTATTAAAATACCAATGACGCTCTTCAAATTCTAAGGTAACCCATTCTCACGAAGAAAGGTGAAGCTACTGACCACGGATACACAGCAGATGACGAGCTCAGCCGTTTTCCACCGGGTGGATACACAGTGAGCAGGTTGATCCAAGCTCCCCCTCTCAAAGCTGCTTGTGAGCAGAGCTCATAATTTACATGCTTATAGCCACACCAGAGAGAAGAGGACACAACTGGCTGATACAGAGATTTAGTATGTGGTCCTGACCTCATTATTGCCGAGTTTTAGACAAATGAGATTTGAGTTTATATCTCAATATGCTTAATGTTCAACAGAAAAATGTTTGCTAAGCAATATGTAAAGAGAGAAATGTTAGTTACTTCATGATAGAAAGTCTTCAGCAAAAAATACAAAGATGAAGAAGGAAAAGGAAAACAAGAAAAATCTCATATTTGACTTCAAAGAGTAAATTTACTCATCTGTGCTTATGCAGGAAGCACATCCTGAAGCAATGTAGTTTATTGTTGCTTTCAATCATTTCAGTACATCCTTAAGAGCAATAACATTCCATTTCCTTAAAAAGCTGATTTCTCCCCCTTGCCATTGATTTGGACGGGCTTCTTTCCGTCCTTTCAAAATGACATCAAGTTTAGATTATTTAGCAATATATATTCTTAAAGTCTTGATGGCAGAAGACTTGTTCAGAGGAGGGCACAGAACAGAGATATTTCTGAGGAAGAAAAACCACAAAGTAGCAAGTGATGAGGAGGAAAAACAGATGGAATTCAAGGAAATACGAAACCTATCATGCTTGCTGAAAATGGTTGTTTTTATCCTGCTGCCCCTGCCTGATTCACTTTTTCTAATCATTCCCCTTTCCACTTCTCAAGCAAGGAATACTTCTGAGAGCATTTAAGCAATGATGGCAAAAATATTTACTCCAGTTCTTGAGTTTTCTCTAGCCTCTGTAGCCTTCTAATCCCTATAACAAGGGCCCATTCCTTCTCTGTTAATCTTGGTTCTGCCGCAGTTCCAGCCCTTCGGTAAGACTTGACTACCTTCAGAGGGATGGGAATGGTAAAGCCTTAGGTGGTTCAAATAAACATAGCTGTGACACTCTGTAGTTTAGGAGGAACCTCACTCCTCACTTTTATTGATTACTCATGACAGATTCCTAGATCATAGAATAGCTTCCTTTAGCTAATAGTCACCAATCTTTCTTTTCCCTAAGCCTATGAATGACTAAGTGGCTCAAAGCTCGATATTCCCCTAAGGTTGATGGCTGAGTGTAGCTGTTCCCCTGGATAGATAGTTCCTGAGCACGGAATGGAATCTAAGCATGAGTACCCTGTCCACTCTGTCAGGCAGCTTTAATTATAGATCCCAGGTTCCTGGTGAAGAATGGGCCTTGTTCACCTGGAAAGAAAGAACCTGACATAAGCAATAGTTGATGCTTCAAAAGGAATGCATCATCCCATGCTCTAATCACCATAACCATCTTATAAAGCAGGTATTATTTCAGTTTTGTAGGAGAGGCGAATTTTGTAGGAGGGATGCTTTGAAAATATTATCAGTACTACATGATAAAACTAATTGTTAAACACATAAGACATGCAGATAAACACTGAGCCCAGACTTGTGAACGTCTAACAGTGATTACTAAATCTGCTTTGAATGTGCTCTTCCTGCATTTATGAACTTAGGAAAGGCTTCCTTAACTCATCCAAGGCTTTGCCTTATGTCATTGGTACAGTGATGAATTAGACTACATATTAGCAATAGTTCATATTTCTTACATATAACTAAGTGTGGTTTTCAGTCAAGTTTATTCACTTGCTATTCACTATATGTGGATTTTCAGGTAGTGTGTTAGCGGTTAATGAATTGAGTGAAGTTACTGTCCTGTTTCCAGAAAATTTAAAAATCAAGTAAAGAAGATGAGGTATATGTAATAGCTACATATGAAAGTGCCATAGAAGTGTTGGTTGCACACATACTGCCATTATTCTCCTTAGAAACCAGCTATTTGACCTTATTGTATTTGCTCTATTCCTTGAAGATCAAGGAAGGCACAGGGAGGCATCCCTAGTTGCAGTCTATTGCTCTATGAGGTGTGTAGAACAAGCACGGTGAGTCAGAACTACTGAGTGAGTAGGATGGAGCTACCACGGGAGGAAATCTGTAATTATATCACCAGGCAATAGAGTGTAAAAATCTGTTTGAGTGCAGATAAATGACTTGATTGGACTTGATTTTTAGGAAGATTAATCTGGAAATTGAATTTCAAAGCGGGCAGGGATAATGGGGAGAGACGTGCCAGGCAGTGTCTCCAAGATTCAGCTAGTGTCCAGTGCACGAGGTATTATTTAGAGGAGAACATTAGGCTATAGAATTTGAAGGTGGTTCCAACTGGAAAGTATTTGATGTCAACTAAGGTGACTATCATCTCAGCAGAATTTCAAATCTCGTGAATTTTCTGGGCAGCATGGTGACAAAACTGTAAACCAAGAAAGACAAGTGTGCTACTGCTATGCCAGGCCCTGGGGAATTGAGACAAGGTGATCAATCAGTTTGGAGATTACTAAAGTCCTCAGTCCTGATGTGAAATTTCTTGGAAAATTTTAGAAATACTGAAATTGACTTCTTTTCAATTCTAAGTGTATTAATGACTTGCTTTCACCTATACATGTGCACCATAGGCATCCCTGCTGCCCAGAGAGGCCAGAAGAGGAGGATGGGTCCATAAAACAGGGGTCACGGGTGGTTGTGAGCCGCTGTGTGGGTGCTGGGAACCAAACCTGAGTCCTCTGTAAGAGCAGCCAGTATTCCTAATTTCGGAGTCATCTTTTTAGTTCTGAAAATACTGACATTTTTGAAAGACAAGGTGATTCATTTTCCTGAAATTGACTGTGAGGTGCAAAGAGCTGCCAAGACTATTCTCTGCAGAATCCAGTCTCCATGAGGGGAGGGTAATATGATTCCAGCAGGTCGAACCTTACATGCTTTGCATGTGCATTATTGAAAAGACCCCTAAAGAAGTACACCCCAAAAGGGAGTCACATGGCCAATCACAAAACCCTGGATTTCTCATTTCAACCCCATCCTTCCACGATGTTCAGTCCTACCCCAAACACGCCTGCAGTGCCTGCCTTCAAGCCCCCCTTCCTCCTCCCCTACTCTCCTGACCACCATTAAGACATCAGTGGATGGCCAGCCATCCCCATTTTTTAAATGATTCAAACTCCTCTCCTTGTTTTGATTCATGACCAATTTTAAGACACCCCTAACCCTAAATAATTGTTATATCAAAAAATGAAATTACATTAAACTACATCCCCCTGACGTCCTTCTGATCTCAGTTAAGGGGGCACTATCCTCACAGAGGCTCAGACCTTTGGGTATGTTATATATGCCATGCCAAACTATTACCAAACCTTCACCGAGCTCAAAGTTTTTCCAGAATCTGTTATCCTGACCTCCTCTGGTACAGACTAGCTTAATAGCCTGTAGCTAAATAAATTATGGCTGCTACCTCTGCCTTCCTAGGATTTCTCCTTCTTAGATACAAACTCCAAAGTATCTCGATCCAGTACAAAGAAACGCTCAAAGCATCACAAAGATATATAAGTCTCACCAAAGAGATTATTTGCCACGTGCTTTTGATGTCTCTTTTCACTCTCCCCTACTCCTTTCCAGATAGATTGGCCTCTTCGGGGTTTCTTAGCAACTTCAGGTGATGATTTAGTTCAGAGTATTCCTGCTGTGCCTCTATGCGTGTCTCAATCCTTGACACACCAAGCTTGTGCCTTTAACTCACCCTTTAGCCTTTACTTGTGCTTTGACTCTCCAGCAACTTGGAATACACAGCAAACAATACTCCAGTGAGCATGTGAATCATACAGGTCTTTTTTCTTCTAATTTCTGACACATATTGGTGCTAGTGATTCTTACTCTTAATCAAGTATCATAGGATTTTACACTCTCTTGGTGATATTTGTGAGAGTCTCCTGATATCTAAGTGTGAAAAAGTATATTCCTCAGGATGTATTAAATGAGTAATTGTCAATACTAACATCAACACCGTTCACAGCTAGTCAATACTTTGGGTATACTTAATTATGTCTATAAACTCATCAG